ATCCTGGGCAGCACCATTCAGTCCCGTCTCCGCATGCCTCCCTCACCCCTGCTCCGAGGCACCCGGGCAAGGAGTGCAGGCTGAGGGTGGACACAGGGTCACCCAGCCTAGAAACCTTCCGACTGAAGAAACCCAGGTCACGTTTCCACACTCTCACTTTCTCATGACCCACAACATCCTACCTGAAGCTCTCGTGTTTACCACCTGTTTAACCATTAACCGCCTGTGTGTCGCCTCCCCAAGAAGGTCCGGAGAACTGCCACTTGCCCGTGTCCCCAAGACCCAGGCCAGGCAGACTCTGGTTCTAGTTCATATTTACTGGATGGATGGATGGATGAGTGAGTGAGTGGGCTTTGGGCCCAGATGCCTTCGGGACCAGCCCGTCTGTACTGTGAGGGTTAGAGGGTCAGGACCGCCCTCCCCCTTCCTGGCCTGGGTCCCTGATGGCAGCGCCAGCTCTCCCGCAGATTATTCATGCAGGAGGCTCTCGGGTAAGACATCCCGGGAGCAGATTAGGCTCTGCCCCCACAGCGTTACCTGGGGCCACGGCCCACCTCCTGCCTCCCGCCCCCGCCCCATTCCCCCTCACTGTTAATACAGCCGGAGTCACGGACTTAATTTCGTCTGGCCCAGAATGCCTCCTGAAACCACCGCCACGCTTATGCTACAGCACGGCCGCGATAGACACACAGGCTATAAATAGAAACCAGGAGGAGGGAGGGCCTGCGGCCGCTGGAGGAGAAGGAAGCCCCCGGTGCCAGGCCGTCCTGGTGCCAGCCTGCCTTTGGGCCAAGGGCAGCCACGGTGGGGCGGGGGTGCACAGGGTGAGGGAGCTCGGAGAAGGGTGGCAGAGGGGCGGGGTGGGCTGGCCCGGGGCTAGAGAAGCCCTTTTTCCCCGGACAGGCTCCTGGAGGCCACGTGCAGAGCAAGGTCGGCCCTGCCGCGTCTGCTTGTGCGGCGCCCTCTGCGTTCACCGCAGAAGCCGGCCCTTCTCTTGGGCACAGCCCTCAGCATCTGCCCATCGGCCACGCACACTTAGGTTTCCGTGAACGAATGAGCCCGGGAGAAGGTGGGGGGGTCGTGGAAGGGGCTTGTCCTGATCAGTCCCCCTCCAGGGCCCTTCCCCCAGCAAGCTCAGCAGCCCCCCGTCCCACTGCTCGGGCTCCTGTGGGTGACCAGAGGGCCTGTTTCTTGCGCACCTGCTGGATCCCGGCCGCCGCTCGCCAGGCCCACCAGGCTGGCACCCACAGGCGAGCAAGTGGGGGGCACCCACAGAGCAGGCTCCTTTAGTGGCCAAAGGAAAGCCCGCAAGTGGCAGCAGGCCCCCAGGTCACATGGAAGTCACTTTCCGTGACAAGGAGGGTGACCCTGTGCTTCTTGCTCAAGCGGCTTACTGGCAACCTGTTCACCTGTCCCCTAGCACCTGGCGCCCAAGGCGGGCGGGGGTGCTGTCCTTGGAGCCCAGACTCCCAGGGAGGCCCCTGCCCGGCCCTTGTGACTATAAGAAACAGGGGAGGCTCGGTAGACTTGAGGTGCGAATATCTAATTTTAGATAAAAAAACTTTTAAGGTTTAAGAGCAACGTGGAGGGATTAGTGAGGCAACAGCTGGGAAGGGCGGGAGTGAGCTCACCAAGCCGGCTTCGCTCCGGCCAAGCACACTGAAATGCCCATTGCTCAAGGCACCGCACCCGTCTAGCCCACGTAAATCTGGGTGAGCCTAAGTCGGAGTCAGATTGACTCCAGCGAGGCCTGGATTGGGAGTCAACCCAGGAGCTGTCACCGGTTAGGAGCCACGGTCGGTCCCGTGAGAAAAGACAGCCGCGCCGGGACGTGAGGGAGCGCCGAGGCCGGGCCTGCTGTGGGCCTGGCTTCACCTGCTCAACGGCAGCCAGCGGGCCTCGGGGCGGCACAGGCAGACCCGGCGCGAAACCTCACAACTGCAAGTACCCAGTACAAAGTGGTGACCTTTCTCTAAGGCCAAGGGAGCACGTGCCAGGTGCCTAACCGACCGGCAACCTTACCCCCTTTACTGATGAGAGTCAAGAGACTGACCTTTTCTCTGTGGCTGTTAGGAAGCTCAGAGTCAAAAGGACAGCCATCGAACCTTTGGCAGCTATATTAGTTCCCACCCCAACATCCTCCCTCTCCCTCTCTCTCTCTCTCTCTTGCACACCCACTCCACCAGTCTTGACCAACTATGCCAAATACGGTTTCCCTTATCCAGGTTTCTAAATGTCATAGGGCTACTTTTCCATATATTGAGTTTTAAAAAGGGGTCAAAAGCATGGACAGTGCCCAGGCGGTGGGGTGACCATGTTCTGAGCAAGGGTTTAAGGCAGCGGTTCTCAACCTGGGGGTCGAACGACCCTTTCACAGGGGTTGCCTAAGACCATCGGAAAACACATCTATAATTACATGTTGTTTTTGTGATTAATCATGATGCTTTATTTATGTTCAATTTGTAACAATGAAAATACATCCTGCATATCAGGTATTTACATTACGATTCATAACAGTAGCAACATTACAGTGATGAAGTAGCAACGAAAATAATTTTATGGTTGGGCGTCACCACAACATGAGGAACTGTATGAAAGGGTCACGGCATTAGGAAGGTTGAGAACCACTGGTCTAAGGCAAAGAGGCACCTGGGGAGGTGGGCTCCCCCCACCTCCCCGTCACCCTTGCCCCCAGCTGGAGCCCCCGCAGGGCTGGGCCGGGGCCTTTCTTTGGGGTGAGCTGGCCCAGGGAGGCAGCTGGAGGCGAGTGACAGGCGGAAGGGCGGCCTGCACAGCTCAGCTCGGATCCCAGTTGCACGGTCACGGTCACGGGCGGAGCACAGGCTCGCCTTGCCCCGGGGCAATTACCAAGTGAGCGCCTGTCAGGTGGAGCCCTGCTCTGCATCTGCCAGGGCAGTGTGGTGACAGTGACGGAGGCAGCTAATCAGTGTGTGAGCCAGAGCGCCCGGCCCTCAGCACCCAGGGAGGAGGCCGGGCAGGACCCACAAGTGTAATTACCCTCAAGGCAGGAGCGCCCCAAGGAGCGGCTTGGCTCTCTCGGGTAAATAATTTACTTTTACAACTTTCCATTAAAGATTAAAGGGAATTAAATTAAAATTAGGCGAGTGGAGAGGAAATCACACCGCCCAGGGTTCTCTGTGGAGAGGTTCCTGGCTTCCCCAGCGTGCCTACCGTGAGCCGGTCCTGGCACGGGCCTCCAGGGGTGGGGCCCATGGAGGAGAGCCCGGGGAAGGTGCAGGGAGCTCACAGAGCGGTGAGGGCGGCCCAGAGGACGCCTTGGTGTGGCCAGTGGCTGCTGTGGGCCATGGCGAACCACTGTCCTCAACAGCGGGAAGAAACACATGGCCAACACCACACACCCTCCTGTGGGAGTGCCCTCCCCACCAGGCCAGGGTTCTCGGGCCACACAGGTACCCACTGCAGGGCCAGGTGAGCCCCTTCCAAAGCCAGGGCTGCTGCCTCCTTGTCTGAAAATGGGAGGAGGCAGCGTCTGGCCAGAGGGCTGGTGGGTGCAAAGGAGATGTGTCCGGAGAGGGCTGAGGTCCCAATGTGGAGAGAGAACACAGGTCATGGCCCACAAACACATGCCTCCCACAATCCCTTTCTCCTGGTGGACAAAACTAAATGAACTGAGTAGAGGAAGGAGGAATCGTGGGATGGGCAGGGCCATAGTGGGTGGGACCACGATGGGTGGGGCCATGGGATTCGGAGGGTCCTATGTGGGTGGGGCCGTGGGATGGGCGGGGTCGTATGTGGGTGGGCCGTGGGATGGGCAGGGCATCCCTGACCTTGGGGCTTTGTCACAGCATTTCTCTGAGACATTCACAGGCCTCCAGCACTCATCTAACCAGCCCTCTCCTCAGAAGGGAACATGAGCCCAGCAGGGAGCTGACACGCTCCGGCCACACTGTGCGCTGGCACTGGCGCTGGCGCGGGCACGGGAATCCGGAACAGAACCGCACCAGGAACGCTGCCGGCTAGAGGCAATGCCTCTGTTAGGTCCT